GTAGCACTGACAGGTTTCGATCCTGTGACTTCTGGGTTATGAGCCCAGCGGACTTCCTCTGTCCCACAGTGCTGTTCGATGTCGGCCCCGACGGCACACACAATGCTGCGCCGCCAGACTGCACTGCCAACGCACTGGCGCTCCTGCTTTCTGACGCACACACGGCCGCACGCCGCAGGAACGGCCTCGCCGAGGCTCAACACGTTCATTCCTGCCGCGCTGCATCTCACAGAAGCGCCTCGAGCCGCCTCACGCACTCGGCCTGTGCTGCCACAAAGCAGTCGCTCTCTGATCGGTGTGTCCTGGCCGCCGCAACGCCATCCAGGCCGAGCACGGCCACGCCAAACGCCGCCGCAAGAATGCGGTCCGCATGCTCTTCGAGAATCTCGATGCCGCCCTCGGGCGGGTCGCCGCAGCGATGCACCGACGCAAACACAGCAGCACGCTTGTCAACCCGCCTCGACTGCATGTCGGCAAGGCAGCAAACCCATCTGCGATCCTCAAACACAGGACTCAAGCCAGCCTCTGGTGCCGCACGCCGCACACGGACGGGTTGTGTGTGTTCAGGCCATAACGGGCCTTTCATTCTCGGCCGGATTGCACAAACGAGAGCTCAGAGTCGCCGCTTGATTCTCACCGAGAGCCGAGCGCATCGAGTCGAGTTGCGACCTGGCCGCCGCACGCACACACACACGGGCTATAGCGGAACGGCCGCATCGCGCAGCAGCCCGCGGATGCCGCCGTCGCCCAGCTTCTCAGCCGCACGCACGGCGTCATCCGTCAAGCGCACCGTGGGCTGCGCCAGCAACCACTCGACGGCGGCACGGCTGCCGCTGGCCACGGCGAGGGCAAGCATGTCGGACGTTGCGCGCTGGCCAAAGTCGCGCGCAATCTGCTGCAGCCCGCCGAGGTACCCGAGCCCGGCGGCCGTGCGCATGGCCGCGATCGTGTCGCCGACAACGCCCACATCGCGCAGCCAGCGCATGGTGCGCAGGTGCATTCCTGCCGCCGCGGCGTCAAAGACATGCGGCCCAAAGTGCTCTGGGAACCGCGCGTGCAGGAACCGCACGACGGCGAGCCGGCCGTTGGCGGCCGCGAGCTCGGCAGCAACGGGGCGGCAGCCCTCGGTGCGGTGGGCAAGCAGCCACCGGATGACGGCCAGATGGCCGCCCAGCGCGGCGTAGTCGACGGCCTTGGCCGTGCAGCCCTCGGCGCGGTTCGCATGCAGCCACCGCACGGCGTCGAGCTGCCCGTTGGCCGCCGAGCGGTCCATGGCGAACGTGGAGCAGCCCTCGGTGCGGTGCGTGTGGAGGTGGGCCAGCACATGCACATGGCCCCCGGCCGCGGCCAGATCCATAACGTGGGCCGTCCAGCCGCCCGGCCGCGAGCGCTCGGCGAGCCACTCAATGACATGCAGGTGCCCGCCGCCCGCGGCCGCCTCGGCCAGGTCGACGGCGCCGCCGATGCCGAGTTGCCCGTGCTGCTCGTGCAGCTCACGCAGCAGCCAGAGCGCACCCTGCGCCGCGGCAACGCCTGCCAGCAGCTCCGGGTTGGTGCGGTCGATCAGGTCGGTCCACCCGTTGCGCACGGCCGCATGCTGCAGCTTCCACTTGTTGCCGGGGGTCCGCTGGATGCGGGCGTACATGCCGCGCGTGCGGATGGCCCCGTACGCCGGCCCCGGCAGCTCCACGGCCGGCAGCGTCGCCAGGTCGCCCGGCCAGTCCGTCTCGAACGCCTCGACCCACACGCCGACCTGGTCCTGCTTGCTCATGAGCCGGATGCGCCACGGCTCCAGCGCACCGGCCGCCAGCTGCGTGAGCGGGCCGGCCGCATCCAGCACCATGTCTTGCAGCTCCAGCGGCAGCTGGTCCCACAGCGAGGCGCTGTCAGCGAGCGTGTCGGTCAGCGGCATCCGAGTTGCTGGTTGTGGGGGGAAGCGCAGTGCTGCGGCTGTTGATGGACGTCGCTCGATCCGCTGGACTCGCTGGTTTCGCTTGTGTCGCCGCAAGCATCGACTCCAGCAGGTGCATCCCGCGGCCCTGCGAGGTCGGTCGGCGTTCCAATCGCCCCACAAGGGGGGTGTCGACCAACTCGCAACCGACGGACCGCAGACACTCGATGCGAGACCCTGCCATCGGTGAGGACGGTGCATCGGCGACGGCCTCCACGAGGCAGGCTGCTCATGATCCAAGGAATGGCCACAAACGGTCTTGTGTGACGCCATGCCTCCACTCTGCAGCGCATGCGGCGGATGCGCGAGTGGATCGGGGTTGAAGCCGTTGTGCTTCCAATGCAGCGCACGACAGCATGTGGGTCGCCGAACAGGTGCAAGGTGTTCATTGCGAGACTTCTTGGCCGCACGCCAGGGCCGCATGTGTCCACCAGACCGCTGTGTCACATTCGGCTGCGTCTGTCAGCTTGACGTCTCTGCCGTTGCATGCCCCACCGAGTCATGCAGAGCGACTGTTGCTCATCTTTGTTGCCATGTCCGAGTTGCCAGGTGCTGCGTGTGGATGAGGTGCAACTCGAAAGCGACACACAAGCGGCTCTCGTGCTCGCTGAAAGGCTTGACTATCATCGCCAGGGCATTGCGAGCGATGCCACTCACCCGCTCGGCCGTGCAGGCGGGCTGCGGCCATCGCAATGGCGGCCGAGCAGCGTTGCAGACCTTGCCTTGCTTGACCCCTTCCCTCGAGCCACCTGGCATGCGTGACCTTGGCGGCGGCTCGTCGCGGCATGCTGCTGCCGCGCTGCAATGCAAGCAAGGCAGTTGCGACTCACAGTTTCCCAACCATCCCACCCGACGTCCGGTTGCCACCTGACCAGCATCCGGACGCCATTCATGTCCAGGATCCGAGTGTCGCCGTCCAACCAGTTGAAAAGTGCGCTGCATGCGCAAAATACATTCTTGGCCGATCTTTTTCCCAACCGAGTCCTGCGCGCTTCCCAGCCGCAGCACAGGCTCCCGAGTTTGCATTCCTCTGTCGCCTTTCGTCCAATTCAACCGATGCCTGATGGCAGCATCCGTTTTGCCATCGGATCGGCCAGCATTTGCTGCAAACTCACAATTTGCTCGCCAACCTCATTTGATCGCCGTGTTGCCTCGGCATACATGAAGCAAGTTGGTCAGCTCTGTGTGTTGGCAACAGAGAAGGCGTCCAGGTCTCAAACAGCCAAGGCAGCTCACTTCCGATTGTCCTGCTGCTTGCATGGGCTGTCCAGGTTGTGCCATGTGGTGTCCGGTTGCAAGGCGTCCAGGCTGTGCTGACGGCGAGCTGTCCTGTGGGCCACCGATGTGTCGTCGGAGCTCTTGCCACTGACCCGCCATCCTGAACTCCCTTACTCTCAGTTGCCCATCCGGTTCGGCCAGAGTCGACTTGGCGAGCGAGGCGTCAGTTTGTCAGCGTCGGTGCACGAGGCTCAGCGATGGCTGCGACTGCAAGCCGCGCCGAGCAGGCGCCAAGGAGACGCCGGCCTTGGTGGCTTGGGGGGGGGTTCTCGCCGGCTCGAGGTCGTTGTGCTGCGGTGCGCGCTGCATTTGTTGATGCTGCAGATGCGCAATGCATCGATGCTCGTGAGCAGCGGCATGAGCGGCGCAACCGCTCTCGCGGCGGGAGGTGTCAGCGGAGAGGGGAGCGG